TGGCTGTGGCTTATTCCCGATGGTCCTCACATCTGCCTGCATGGTCTCTCCACACAAGGATGTAACTAAATCCTCAGAGCAGCACTGGGGGACATTTGAGTATATAGGGAAACACCATGGACGTGTAAGCCGTTGTGTGCAGCTGGTCTACTCCCCGCTTCCTACCAGGAAGGGGACGGAGCTGTGTGGGAAGGCACGTGGGCCACACAGAGCTCTGCTGGTGTGTCACGGTGAGCGCCCCATCACACCCTGACTAACCGCACGGCCCTCTCCCCCCAGGAGCTGCCAGAGCATGACAAGCTTGTTCAGCAACACCATGTCGCCCATCAAGGACGGGACCTCCTCTCTTCCCAGGAGGCAGAGCTCATTCACCAAGCCCCCGCTGCGTGCCCTGTATGACCTGCTCATTGCACCCATGGAAGGGGTAAGTGCCTCCCCGCGCCGTGGGGCATCTTGGCATCAGAATCCGTCATTTCCTGGCCAGTGCCTGTGTGCGTGTCCCCCTCAGGACACACGCAGGCTCCTGACACAATCAGAGCTCTTCCAGAACGGGTGTCTTCCCCGTGAGCCACTCAGTGAGCGGTGGAAGCTATTGCCATCTCAGGATCGTGGTTGGCTGTGGTCACTGAGTGAAGCCCTGAGCTTCACCATCTGGTTCCGGCCCTAGCTCTGCCCCTGACCGGCTGGGTAAACATGGCCCTGGGTACTCACTGGGGAATTCGAGGCTGCCTGCCCAGCACCTCACTGAAAGGCTTGGGGAGGAGAGCTGTGCACATCGGAGCTGCTGTTGGTGAAGGCACCCTGTCAACGGTCATGGCTGCTCTGCCCTACCCCTGGCAGAGTCCATGGGGGACCATGGCTCTGCCATTCCCAGGAGCCCCAAACTCTGCTCTTCCACCTGCTGGAGATGCTGCCCACTCCCTACCCTCTTCCCAGAATCCCCTTCAGCCATGTCAGGCCAGGGCTGGGGCGGTGCCGGTGGGTTGCAGAGAATGAAGGCCCAGCTGTCCTTCCCTCAGCTCTGACCCTGACAGAGTCCCAGACATCGTCACACAGACCATGTTAAGGCACTCTGGCATCCGAGCGTCCCTGAGAAGGGTGGAAGGAGCTCTGATGGCATCGTGCCTAAGGCATCTGAGTACTAACCAGAAGGCTGGCGGTTCAAACCCACCAGCCGCTCCATAGAAGGAAGACTTACCACCTCAGAAACGCCAATGGGGGTCGCTATAAGTAGGAATTGACTCGGTGGTAGTGAGTTTGGTTTTGGTTTTGAAATAGGTGGAATTAGCGACTGTTCAGTTTCCCGGCCTGCTCTTGGCTTACTACTGTTCAACACAGACACCGCTCTCTGACGAGGTGTGCAAGGCCAAAGCCTCAAGATCTCTATGAATCTAAGTTTGGAGGCCATCCAGGCCTCTGCACGCAGACGCTGGAAGCCCAGGGCCACAGTGGGGGACGGTGCTCTGCAGGGCCCGGGGAGTGGCCCGCCCCCCCTCTCAGCTGACTGTCTTGCCGCCTTGGCGGTTGTCTGCTGCCAGGTAGATTGTCTCGCAGATGTTGGAGTGACAGGCCCTCCTTCGGCTGAGCACACCCTCAGGAAACCATGTGTTGATGGTGGCTCCTCTGTCCCCAGGAGACACCTACACGTTTCCCTGCTGCCCAGTGTTCTCGTGGGGGCCGCACTGCCTGCCGGCCCCTCCCACTTCCTTAGTTCAGGGGATGGGACGCGAGCAGACCCGCTCCTACCTGGCACTGCCCTTTCCTAGCTGGGTGACCTTGGCCACGCTGAGCCTTCTTCAGTGTCTTTTTCCTCATTGGAACTGAGGGTGAGGCGGCCAAGCGGGTCAGCTCAGGGCGTAGATGGGCTTAGCAAGGTGTGCAGAGCAGACACCGGGCCCAGTGTGTGTGGGCGCCGTGCCGACGGTCCCTCCAGCACCAGGTCACAGTGACCACCCTGTCCCAGCCGGCCCAGGTACTCCAGACCTTCCAGGTTCCACGTCACACACAGAGCCCCAACCTCCCCCTGGTGACAAGAGTCCTCCCTGCTGCATCCCTGTCCCAGGGTGACCCGGTCTGCAGGGACCCTCGGCTGCAGCACCTCACAGGCAGACAGCCCCCCGGTTGATGGGCTTTGTTCACAGGAAGGAGGATGCACCTGTGCCCTCAGAACCATTTCTTCAATTTTCTTTGCTGCCATCAGCCGTCAGGCAAACCATTACGGTGACTTATGCCAGTCTGCTGTCCGCAGTGTTCCCACAGCGGCTCCTCTGAAGGGTGGTAGGGCCCTCGGGGCTCTCACTCACATGGGCCTCCCAGTTCTTGGGCATTTACTGGCTTGCGTTCAGGGCCCCCTGCCCATTACTCTGTTGCATTAATGTCACACTGGGTGGTGAGGAGGGACCAGGGGAGGGCAGGGGAGGCCAACGACGGAGATTAGCTGTCAGTTGGGTGGGTGGGTTAGTGGTGAGGGACAGAGGGCTCCCTATGACGATCAGCCTCTGCACCCAGGGGTCCCAGCATACGCTCAGAGGCTCAGGCCATTGTGAGTTGGCAGGTTGCTCCCATCTCCTGATGTTCAGTGTCACCCCCTCTGAAGCCTTCTGTGCCTTCCCCATGGCTGTCCTTCATCCCCCTCAGAACCCCACACCCCAAGGCAAGCACAGCCCCTCCTCTCTGCATGCCAGCAGCTGGCACAGGGTGGCACGCAGCAGAGTTTATAGGCCTGCATTTGCTTTCGGGTCTAGTTGGGCACTGCAGGCAGACATTGTAGCAGGAAATCAGGTGATGGGTCTTTTGGGCCACTCTGTGGAATCCAGAACTTTCCACAGGGTACAAAGCAGAAGGAAGACGCTGGGCCTGCTCATGGGTGTAAGCGAGTGGACTGGCCCCTGCCAAGGAGCACGCTGCCAAGTGTCTGGGTTATCCTGGGACAGGATCGAGAGCCCACTCAACGCACTTGGGGTGGGGCCCACACTGAGGGTGTCACACCTGCTGATGCCACCATGAAGGCTGAAGGTGGTGGCTGTGGGTGGGGCTCAGTGCCCATGGCAGGGATCTCGTGGGCGAGGAGGAGGAGCTGGGGCAAGGCGGGGTGGCCCTACTCCCCACGAACGAAGCTGCTGCAGTGCTGCAGGGGATTCTGGGTCCCATCAGGCCTGCACTGATATTGACAGTTTCTCCCCTGAGGACTTTCCTCTGTGACATCTAACAATAAAAACATATGGCTGGTTTCCATTACTAGGTCTATATCCTAAAGAAGTGAGAGCCATGACAAGAAGAGACATATGCACACCCATGTTCATTGCAGCACTATTTACTAAATAGCCAAAAGATGGAAACAACCT